GCCGCACGCCGCCCCCAGGCTCCATCCACAGCGACACCACGGCGGACGCCGCCTGCCACGCCGCCAACCCCCTGACCGCCCACGAGCCCCCTCTGCTCTTCGACCTGTCCGCGGACCCCGGGGAGAACTACGACCTGCTCGGGGGCGGGGCCGAGGTCTCCCCCGAGGCGCTGCAGGCCCTGAAGCAGCTGCAGCTGCTCAAGGCCCAGTTCGATGCCGAGGTGACCTTCGGCCCCAGCCAGATGGCCCAGGGCGAGGACCCGGCCCTGCAGATCTGCTGCCAGTCCAGCTGCAGCCCCCGGCCCGCCTGCTGCCACTGCCCCGAGCCCCAGGCCTAGCGCCGGGGCCGGGCCGCTGAGCAGGCCGCACCGGAGCTCGCCAATAACACCAGCTGGCAGTCGCAAGTGTGCTCATTCCTCGGCTCGCGGGGCGCCGGGAGGGGAGGGCTGCTTCCCCGCCGCGCGTGAGGAAAGGAGGCCCCGGGCCGGCAGGGCGGCCGGGCCGGCACCGGGCCTGCGACCGGCGCCCCTGGGGGACCGCGTGGGGCCGCAGAGCAGCGTGTGCCAGGCTGGGGGTGGCAGGGCCCGCAGAGACCGCGCTGCAGGCTCCCCGAGAGTGAGCTCTGGGAAGCAGACCGCAGGCCGGGAGCTGGCCGCCTGCCCGCAGCGGGTGCTGACGGCACCCGGCGGCACCCCACCTGCCGCGCCCACCCCCACGGCCCCGCCCCTGCGCCCCTAGGAGCTGGACCCCCGGGATGCCAAGGCTGCGTCAGAGCCCCGCCCCAGGTGTTCCTGGGGCAGCTCGGGCTGCCCCACAGGGCTCACACTGGCCTCTGCACAGGGGCCAGGGTTGGCACGTGGGGGGGGCATGCCCCCCCAGGCCCAAGGGCAGCCCCTGGGGCCAGCCCAGGGCCCCTGAGGACCGCCTCCGCAGAGCCCACGGTCTGAGGAGCCTGGCGCCAGGCTGGCGCAGAGGCCCCGCCTGCCCCTGTCCTCACTGTGCCCGCGGGGCCCCCCAAGGGCCCCCCAAGGCCTGAATAGCTGCACAGGCCACCGCGTGGCCTCAGGGTACCAGGGTGGGGATAGGCGGTGGGTGCCCGGCGCCACCACGCCCAGGGCGTGTGCAGTGGGGGGTGGTGAGGGGTGCGTGGGGGGCCGTGGGCACACCTTGCTCCTGTGCCGCCCAGGTGCTCAGCACCTGCCTCAGACCTGGACTCTCAGCAGGAGCGAAAGCGCTGCTCCAGGCTGGGGTGTGGCTGTGACCTGGGGTACATAGCCTCGGGGTGTGGGGGGCCCTCGGGCTGGGTGGGGAGAGCCCCGCAGTCAGACGCTGAGGAGTCGGGCTCTTCACCTTCGACAGAAATGAAAATGCAACTGTGTGCCCCCCCGGGCGGCGCAGACGGCTGGAGCGCAGCGCTGAGCGGCTGCCTGCAGCTCGGATGTGGCCCCCCAGCTCGGAGGGGCCCAGGGAGCGGCAGAGCCCTGGCCCCCGCGGCCCCCGCGGCCCCCTCAGCCGTGGGTGTCAGTGGGCCCGCCTGTTCTGCCCCCCACTCTGTGTCTGGGGCGTCCTCTCAACCCCGCCTCTGGCCTGCACCCCAATTCTCTGTGCGTCCATAAATCTTAAAAAAAAGAGAAGG